ATGCTGAGTCTTGGGCACCAGCCTGAATTCTCCTACTAAGAAACTGGACATCTGCCCTTGATAGGGTGTAGCGGATAAGGCATAATGCCTGTAATCAGAAGATCTAGATCTGAGTCTCAGTTGTGACACTTTTTTGCTGTGTTACCTTGGGAAAGTTATTTACCCTCTCTGAGCCTCAATTTTCTCACTAAAAGGGGATCACGGTACCATCATGAATCTCAGTTTTGATTATAATTATGTTTTTTTCCAGTAATGGAAAGAGGGCAGGGATAAAAGGCAGTGGGCTGAGCTTCTGAAAACTCTCACGAGTAGGACTTACAGAGAGTTCACCTGGTTCCTTCTGGGAGTTCACTCACAGCCTTATAATTCTCGTTATTTAGAAAAACAAGCACGGATGTCATGTATTACAACTTGCAGAGAACACACCTGCCCCTGAGACAAAGCAGTCATGATGATGGTGGGCAGATGGGGTAAATTCCGGGGAACTGGGATTCCTTGTGGGAATGGAGGCCATTTCCCCATGGGTGACTCACAATGGCTGAAGAAGGGAAATGCAAGTATCTATTATACACAATTAGCAATCACCCCACAACCCTAGCTCATATGAACCCCACCACCCTGAAAGCTGTTGCCTTTGCATAGTGTCCCCCACCCCATCTCCATTCCCAACTGCCGAGACACTCATTTTAACCTGCTTTCAGGAGGCAGAAACGTGGGTGGGAGGGAGAGATCTCATGAGGTTTGCCCAGGGACACTCCTGCCCCTGACCATGAGGGCAGGCTCCTATCTCCTACTCCTTGGGACCAGCTCTGGGCCACACTCACATGAAAAGGCAGTGTGATCCTTGAGCATGCCCTGAATGTGGTGTTGGAAGATGGGACCCACAAGGAGACTCTGCCACAAAAGCGCTGTATAACTCAGGGCAAATCACTCAATCTCTCTGAGCTTCAGCTTCCTCCACAGTAAAACGGAGATACTAATATTTGCCCTGACTTCCTCACGTTGCTGATGTGAACATCAAATTTAAAAACAAAAATAAACAAACAAAATCATGAGGTCTAAAATGCTGTTTAAATAGTTTTAGGAGAACAATGAAACAGTTAAGAGGAATAAGCTAGACATACACATAGCAATGTGTTTGAATCTTAAAACCATGGTCCTGAATAGAAGACAAGAAACATAATGAGCTATATCACAACCCTATTCACAGAAATTAAAAATCCGCTCCCACAAAACAAGCATACATGCTTTTCAAGACTCAACATTAAACAAATTAAAATGGTGATGGGATTAAGGGATGGGGATAAAAGGAATGAATGAATAAAAGAATGAAGAATGGCAGAGGTCTTGCACGGACCAATGGTGACACTGTGACATAAGATGAGGGGTAGAATAGTCCTGTGTACCTGAGATCCAAGAAAAATATTTTTTATTATTAAGCATCAGCTTCGTGAAGTAAGGGAATTGACAACACTTCTTCTGCAGCGTAGTCATTCCTTGATCCATTTACTCAACAAATGTTGGTTGGGTCCTGACATAGTGGCTCATGCATGTAATCCTAGCATTTTGGGAGGCCAAGGCAGGAGGATGCTTGAGCCAAGGAGTTTAAGACCAGCCTGGGCAACATAGAGAGACCCCTCTCTACAAAAGTATAAGAATTACCCAGACATGGCAGCTCGTGCCTGTGATCCCAGCTACTTGGGAGGCTGAAGCAGGAAGCTCACTTGAGCCCAGGAGTTTGAAGTTACAGTGAGCCATGATTGCACCACTGCACTCCAGCCTGAGTGACAGAAGGAGACCCTGTCTCTAAAAATATAAATAAATAAACATTGGTTGAACCATCTGCAACAGGCCAAACTGTGCTGAGTACCAGCATAAGCTTCCCCCAAAAATGTCTTGCCTTTGTTTACAGACAAGGAAACAAATGATCATAGTATAGTATGACAGTGTCTGACAGAGGAAAGGACAAAGAAACCCAGAGGAAAGGTCCCTCGCCCAGCCTGGGGGAGAGGGAGGAGGCTGTGTAAGCTAAGGCTGGAAGAAGGAGGCTTGAGCTGTGCTGAAGTATGCGTATGGGTCCATCTGGTGAAGACGGGAGGGATGAAGACTCTAGGTATAGGAAACAGCAAGTTCAACAGCACTGGCACATAAAGCAGCAAGCAACTCAGTGCAGGCTAACATGGGCTGTCCCATGGCAGGCACCTGGGGAGGCTGAGGCCAGAGAGGCAGCCCACTCTGAAGGGTCTTCAAGACCAAGACAGGGACTTCAGAGATTCCCTAAATGCAGGGAGCTGATGTGGTTTTTACCCAGGAGAACATCACACCCAGATATGTATCTTTAGTAGCCACCACGGGTACAATGTGGAGATGGATTAATGGAGAGAATCTTGGGGGTGAGGAGGCCATTCAGAAGGTTGCATGAGCACTGGAGGTCTGAACTAAGGCAGTGGATGGAGTCTGAACTTGATGGATGGAGAGAAGAGACTGAGGCTGTGAGACAGTAAGAGGTAGAGTCAGGGTTATGTTGACTGGTGTATAAGTGGACATGGAGTAGAAAAGGGGTAAGAGAAGGTCAGAGATAATGTCCATGTTCCTGACTCAGAAATCAGAGTAGCTGACCATGTCATTCTCCAGAAAATAACATCCAAGAGGAGGGACAGCCTTGGGTAAAGGGGCAGGGGACGCAGAAGGTGGGTTGTGCACACATACACAACTCGGTGGAGGGCCCTGGATGGAAATATCTACATTTGGCAGCTCTGCCATATAAAACCACAGGAAGAGACGATACAACTGGAAAAATTTAGAGGATGAAAAGAGAAGAGAGCCAAGAACGAACCATGCATTTAAGGGATGGGCGAAGGAATTACAACCTGCAGAAAAAAGGAAAGAAAAGACCAGAGGAGGTGAGGTTAAGAATAAATGAGACCAGTGTGGTGGCTCATACCTGTAATCCCAGGGCTGTGGGAGACCAAGGCAGGAGGACCACGTGAGGCCAGGAGTTTGACACCAGCCTAGGAACCATAACAAGATTCTGTCTCTCCAATGTGTGTGTGTGTGTGTGTGTGTGTGTGTGTGTGTGTGTGTGTGTGTGTGTGTTTTAATTAGCCAGGTGTGGTGGCACACACCTACAGTCTCAGCTACTTAGGAGGCTGAAGCAGGATTGCTTAAGCCCAAGAGTTCAAGGCAGCAGTGAGCCAAGATCACACCACAGCAATCCAGTACGAGTGACAGAGTGAGACATTATCTCAAAAAACAAGAAGTGAATCATGGAAATCAAAAAGAAGAACCATTTCAAAAAGTAGGAAGCAGGGTACAACAGATAGCGCAAATAAGTTAAGTAACATCAAGACTGAGTTGAGTATAAGCCTACTGGTAACAGCAGGGAGTGCACCCACACCACTGTGGAGTGAGAAACAGAGAAAGTAGAAGCTGCAGGTGCAGAGAATTTTCAGGAAAGCTGTCTGTAAAAAGAAGGAAAAAGACAGAACTAGAGAAATCTAGGAAGAAATTGTTAAAGGATGAGAACAACTTGTGTAGATACTGAGGAAAAGATTTAGGAGACAGGAAGAGATTGAAGATGTAGAAGAGAAGGGAAATTTGATGGAAGGGGGTCCTAGCGAAGGAGAAATATGAGGATGGAGGGAAGTGCACAGATGAAGGAATTCACATGGACTGAAGAAGGGACACCTCTTCCCCTGGGCACAACGAATTTTCCAGCTTTCTTAAAATAATACTCCATACATAGCTCTATGCTCTCTATAAAATAAGACTAGCATCTGTTAATGAGATTACTGTAAAGCTAATTTTGCTTCATTCTTTACCTCATTTCCTTTCTCCCCAACTTCCTCCAATAATGACAAGAGCTGTGAGGTGCCCTGAGAAGCAGGATGGGAGGCCCAGTGTCAGCAGGGATGGACAGAGGAAAAAAGAGTCCAGCCTGTGGTGGGACATAAGAGGCTTCAACAACCCCTCAGACCCACATGCCTCCGCTGGACCTCGGCAAGCTGAGAAGCCCTGCAAGCTGGGGAGACTGCTGGCTTCCCTAGGGTCTATACCTTTTCTGACTTTGCCCTGGTTCCAGCTCTGGATCCACCTCTACATTTTTAACTCACCCCTGCTCCTTTGGTTCATGGGATTGTTCTTTCATTGCTGACCAGATTCTTGGCTCCTTCTCAAGAGTTTTGCCTTGTGTTCAACTCTTTGATATGCTAGCTTTTGACTACCTTGGGTAAAAATCAGGTACTTATGCTCCTCCTCATTCAAAAGGGAATTCGAGGGTTGACAAGGGGTTCATAAAGATAAAAGGGGTTTTTGTCGTTGTGCACACATCACAGAGTGTACTTACACAAACCTAGACAGTACAGCCTACCACACACCGAGGCTACAAACCTGTACTGCATGTTACCGTACCAAGTGCTGCAGGCAATTGTACACCATGGTATTTGGGGATCTAAACATACCTAAATGTAGAAACTGTACAGTAAAAGTATGGTATAAAAGATAAAACTGTATACTCATACAGGGCCATTACCATGACTGGAGCTTGCAGGATGGGAAGTTGCTCTGGGTCAGCGTGTGAGCCTTGAGTGAAAGTGAAGACCCTACAAGGATTAGAAATACTGTACACTTAGGCTATGCCAATCTACTCTAAACTTTTCTTTCTTCAATGATAAATTACCCTTAGCTTACCATGCGTATTTACTTTATATACTTTTTTTTTTTTTAAGTACAAATTGGGAAACATGATTCTTTGGTTTTAAAGAAATACTTACACATGACTTGGGTCCTACAAGCATCTGGACTCTAGGTCTGAGTGCTGGAGTGTCTGGCCCGTGGGCCCGCAAAGACGCCATGGTTCCCTCCCCGTCAAGCCATGGAATTGAGTGTCAATGGTTAGATCACATCGCGCCCCTTTTCTAGAGCCTTCCCTGGCTGTCTGCTGGCAGGATCCGGCTGGGAAAAAGACTGGAATTTCTTGAAGGCCCATGATCCACATGGTTGAGGATTCTAGTGGTTCTCTTGGTTCCCCTGGTGTGTGTGGAGGGGGCCAAGGCCCTTAGATGACCTTCTTCGGCTCGTCGTACAGGACCAGCACGAAGGCGCCCCCATGCCCCAGAGGACGTTGGACCACGCACCCTTGAAGGAGGCCTTGCCCCCCTCGTCTCTGAAGGTCTTCCTCCAACAGTGGAAGGTGCCCGTGTACATGACGTCACTTCCTTTGCGCCCCGACTGCATCATCATCCGCAGCCACACCGTGTGGAAGGGGTAGGAGACCACACCTGCCACTGCCGTCAGGGTCTGAGCAATCATCCAGCCCACCATGATGTGTGTATTCTTGCGGTCGGGGAGCACACCCTTGACCGTATCGTACACGCCAAAGTAGGCGGCCCGGTAGATGATGATGCCCTGCATGGAGACACTGAAGCCCTGGGACAGGCGGCGGACACCGTGAGACTTGGTGGTCTTTGCCAGGCAGTCTCCCAGGCCTCGGAACTCACACTCCGTGCCTGACTTTCCCACGTCAGTTACCCGGCAGGTTCTGGCAAAATCCAGGGGGTACACGAAGCACAGGGAGGTCGCGCTGGCTGCACCGCCGGAGGCCAGGTTGCCCACAAAGTACCTCCAGAACTGCGTGTGCTTGTCCACGCCTCCCAGGAAGATCTGCTTGTTCTTATGCTTGAAGGTGAAGTTGAGGGCTTGCGTGGGGAAGTAGAGGATGACGGTGGCCAGGTTGCCCTCCAGAAGGACAGCACGCCCTGCTCCTTGGGGATGCGGACGATGCAGTAAACAATGCCCTTATACTGCTTGTCGGCAGCGATCTGCTCGCTGGCATGCTGGACCTGCAGCAGCAGCTTGACCCACTCGATCCGGGCCATGGCCATTTTGGAGATGGCGGCGGGGATGCCTCCTGCCAGGAAGTCTGTGGCGAAGGAGATGGCTTGTTCCGTCATGGTGGCGGGGCAGGCAGCGGAGCGGGCTGACAGCAGGAGAGCGGGCACGGAGAGTGAAGAGAGGGGATCTACTTTATATACTTTTTAATTTTTTTTAATTTTTGACTCTTTTGAAATAACAGCTTAAACACATTGCACAGCTGTACAAAAATAGTACCTGTATAGTCTTATTCTATAAGCTTTTTTCTACTTAAAAAATTAAAAAATTTTTACTTTGTAAATTTTTGGTTAAAAACAAAGACACAAACACATTAGCTTAGACCTACACAGGGTCAGGACCATCAATATCACTGTCTTCCACGCTCACGTCTTGTCCCAGTGGAAGGTCTTTAGGGGGAATAGCACACATGGAGCTGTCATCCCCTATGATACTAAAGCCTTCTTCTGGAACACCTCCTGAAAGACCTGTCTGAAGTGAAACTGTTTTACCGTTAACTTTTTTTTAATAGGTAGGTGGAGTATACTCCAAAACAATGATTAAAAGTAGAGTAAATACGTAAGTCAGTAACACATTTATCACTATCAAGTATTACATACTGTACATAATTGTATGTGCTAGACATTTTATTATTATTACACTTTAAGTTCTGAGATACATGTGCAAAACATGCAGGTTGTTACACCCATCAACCCATCATCTACATTAGGTATTTCTCCTAATGCTATCCCTCCCCAGCCCCCGACTCCCCAACAGGTCCCGGTGTGTGATGTTCCCCTTCCTGTGCCCATGTGTTCTCATTGTTTAATTCCCACTTATGAGTGAGAACATGCAGTGTTTGGTTTTCTGTTATTGTGTCAGTTTGCTGAGAATTGATGGTTTCCAGCTTCATCCATGTCCCTGCAAAGGACATGAACTCATTCTTTTTATGGCTGCATAGTATTCCATGGTATATATGTGCCACATTTTTTTTATCCAGTCTATCATTGATGGGAATTTGGATATGTGCTAGACTTTTACATGGCTGGCAGTGCAGTAGGTTTGTTTGTACCAGCATCACCACAAACATGTGAGAAATGCATTGTACTCATTAGGCAATAGGAATTTTTCAGCTTCATTACAATTTTATGGGGCCATTGTCATCTCTGCAGTTCATCATTGACCAAAACATTGTTATGTGGCATGTGACTGTATATCAGACTTACACTATAATATATTGAGAGGAGATGAAGAAAGTGACTGTGAGAGATAATAAATGCTCATTGTTTTAATCTACTAAGTTTTGCGGTAATTTGTGTTTCTCACTACAAAAATGGAAAAGTGGGAAATCAACAATGTCTAAAACAGAAAAAAGCAGCAATATAATCTTGTTATTTAGAGATATGGAAGTGATATCCTAAAAAAGCTTACAACAGTTGGAGCTGGAGGATGTACTTCTAAGATGGCTCACTCACACGGCTGGCGAGTTATTGCTGGCTCTTAGCAGGTGGCCTCAGTTCTTCAACACATGGACCTCTCCATTGTGCTGTTTGAGTATCTTCACAACATGGCAGCTGACTTCCTCCTGAGTGGGCAGTATAGGAAAGAACATGGTGGAAGCCACAATTCCTTTTATGACCTAGATTTAGAAGTCACATTCCATCATGTAGGGTATAACTTATAACTACACAGGTCACCCTATTCTATGTGGGAAGTGACTACACAAAGGCATGACTTACTATGAGGCAAGGATCGCTGGGGGCCATCTGAGGGGCTGCCACGAATGTATTCAAAAAGTGGAAATTTGCCTGACACACTGAACCTCATCCTTAATCCTTTTAGTGGTAAGTACACAAAGAGGTAGACCAGTGGCATAGCTGCTCAGCCTTGTTCAATAGAGCTAGCTAGCCAGAGGCCAAAACAATATGTTCCTGTCTCTGAAGGTCTGACTTATCTGTGAATAAGACTAATGGAATCTAGAGGAATGGTAGGAATGCATGTCTTTTATCTCTATGAATGCTATTTTTCACCACCAAGCATTTCGTAAATTTTGAGCTGCAGGGAGCTCAGTGTTATGCTGACAAGTACATGGGGTTCAGCCCCTCCCTGTTACCAATTAAGGGCGGCCTTATTCAATAGGCTGGGCTGGAGACAGGCTGTCAGCCTTCTGGGAAAGTTCAGGAGCCTGGCTAGGGCGCATGCTTGGCTGAAAGGTGAGCCTCCTGAATGTAATACCTGTCCTAGATGCAGACAGTTTTGGCATTTAGGGCACTCCAACTTTAAATCCTTGCCCAAGAGCAGAAAAAGAATTTATTCCTTCTTTTTAATTCTATCAACCCTTCAAAGTCCAGCTCAAAAGTCCCCCCACCCCCCACATCCAGCATCCCTCATTCCCTTCGTACCTGCTCTTCTGCTCCTTCCAGACCAGTATCCAGGCCTCTTGGGCCTCTTCCCTGCTTCCCTGTCCTAACTTACTGATACAGAGGGAATTAACCAAGACTGTTAAGGAAAGGTGGGTACAGAGCAGGACTCAGAGGCACACAGATGTGGATATATTGACCCCAACGAACACCACTGTCTCATTCAGATATGAGACACACCTCGCCGAGGTACCCCTGTCAGCTTGTACCTTCCCAGACCTCAGGTCTACCATGAAGCCCTCTTACCTTTACAAAGTGTGTCTTTAAAAAAGGATGATTCCAGGGCACAGAGATACACAGAAATGATATCCAAAATTGTGTGTTTGTTCAGGCATTTCTTTTTCCCAGAAAATGCCTGAATATTTTCATCAGATTCTCAAGGCCCAAAGAGGTTATGATTCCTTGTCAGTGTACACAAACCACACCATGCAGGCCAGATGGGGCCCTGTGAGATTACTGGTTTAGACTGCATAGGGTTTGGGGAGTTTTGACAACAGTTAAAAGTCACATGATTTTGCACAAAAATCCAGATTTCTGGCTTTTAAAAAAAAATTTTTAAATGAAGCAACCTTGAGCCCACATTCCCTGGTGGCAAGAATTGGCTGGCCCAGGGCAGCAGCTGCCCTTCAGATGGGGCAGGGGCTCCCCACAGTCCCCAGTGGACAAATTTCTTTTGGATGATTTTGTCTGCCCTCTCTGTCTAGGTCCTTTGTTTAAGATCTTCAACAATTGGTGAGTGTTTCTCCCAGCAGTTGATTTTTGTTGGTTGCAAGCCACTGTTCTCCATTTTTGGTAACTCTCCCTACCCAGCACCACACTTTCAACAGGAACACACCCTCATGCACGCTACGTGGGGAGGGGAGCTCTTCTTTCCATTGTGACATTTCATTACCTGTCAGAAGAGCCTACTTGAGCAGGGTACTCCCACCAGACTCCACCTGACTAGAAACCAGGCAGGCACCAGCCCTGAGAGCCTGTTCACCTTGGTTTCTTGGACGGATGCTAACAACCTCAATTTGCTCTAGAGGCGAGAACTGTTGATATGGTTTGGCTCTGTGTCCCCACCCAAATCTTATCTTAAACTCTAATCCCCAGGTGTCAAGGGAGGGGCCTGGTGGGAGGTGACTGGATCATGGGGTGGTTTCCCCTATGCTGTTCTTGTGATAGTGAGTGAGTTCTAGCAAGAGCTGATGGTCTTAAAAGTAGCACTTCCCCTTCACTATCTCTCTCGCTTTCTCTCTCTCTCTCCCCGCAGCAGCCATGTAAGACATGCCTTGCTTCCCCTTTGCCTTCTGCCATAATTTTAAGTTTCCTGAGGCCTCCCAGCCATGTAGAACTGTGAGTCCATTAAACCTCCTTTCTTTATAAATTACCTGGTCTAGGGTAGTGTCTTTATAGCAGTGTGAAAACTGAGTGACACAGCTGTCATCAGTAATAAGGGTGACACTCTGTTCTCTACCAGACCACACATTGTCTATTTTCTGTCTTTAGCCTGTGGACTCAGGAATTGCATTACTCTTCACTTACTAATTCTGTGACCTTGGACAAGTCACTTAATCTCTCTTCTGCCTCAGTTTCTCAGGCTGTAGAAAGAGGATAACAGTGTCACCCTTATAGAACTGCCATAAAGTGGAAACAAGAAGATCTAGTTTTAAATGCTTAGCCTAATATCCAGAACATTGTAAGAATGCATCAACTATAAATTATTATAATTTCTGATCTCAGTGACAAGAATTAAACCAAACCAAAACAAGAAAATAAAAAACAAAATAAATACTAATTTTCTCTGATTGGAGCCTAGTTCTTCGGCTCGACCTTTCTTCCCTTTGATGATTCCCCGAAGTGACTCCAGGAAATTCCCAGGGATTCACTCCAGGGTTCCTCCAGACATAGTTTGTTTTTTTGTTTTTGTTTTTGTTGAGACAGGATCTCACTTTTTTTTTTCAGACTGATCTTGCTCAGGCTGGAGTGCAGTAGTACGATCATAGCTCACTGCAGTGTCAATCTCTCAAGCCCAAGCAATCCTCCCACATGAGGAGCTGGGACTACGGGTACATGTCACCACATCTGGCTTTTTCTTTTTCTTTTTTTTTTTTTTTTGAGACAGGGTCTCACTCTGTTACCCAGGCTATAGTGCAGTGGCGCAATCTTGGCTCATTGCAACCTCCACCTCCCAGGTTCAAGTGATGCTCCCGCCTCTGCCTCCCAAGTAGCTGGGACTGTAAGCCACCATGCCCAGCTAATTTTGGTATTTTTAGTAGAGACGGGATTTCACCATGTTGGCCAGTATTGTCTCGATCTCTTGACCTCATGATACACCCGCCTCGGCCTCCCAAAGTGCTGGGATTACAGGCATGAGCCACCGTGCTCAGCCCTGGCTTTTTTTTTTTTTTTTTTTTTTAACTAGAGATGGAGTCTCACTATGTTGCCCAGGCTGGTTTTGAACTCCTGAGCTCAAACAATGCTTCTGCCTCAGCCTTCCAAAGTGCTGGGATTACATGCAGGAGACACCACACCCCGTGAGACATAGCTCAATACAGTCTCCTAGCTGCTGCAATGGCACTCCACTGACCCTGTGCTGGAGCTGAGACACCTGACAGTAGCCCTTGGCTCCTCTCTCCCTTCCCCCAGGTTCAGCAATCCCAGGTCCTGTTGTCGACAATCCCTCCTAAATTTCTCCCCACCTCTTCACTGTTCTCCACCCCACTGCTACTACCCTGCCTTTGTGGATTTTTTCTTTCATCTATGAAATTCAATAATTCACTCATTTAGCCAATATTTATAGGTACCTACTATATGCCAGGCTGAAGGTAGCTGGTGAGACAGCAGTGAGCAAGAGAGACACATACCTGCCCTCAAGGGGTTTCCATTCTACTGGAAGGAGACAGAAAATGAACAGAGAAGGAAAAGCTATAGTGTGGTGGACGGAGAAAAATACAACATGGCAATAGAACAGGGAATTGAGGGTAGGAGACTACTTTAAATAAAATGGCTAGGAAGGCTTCCCTGGAAAGGAGACATTCCAGAGAGAGGCACAAAAGCCCTGAGCTCAGCATAGCTGGCGTGTTCAAGGATCAGTGAGGCTGAGCCAGAGAAGACTAAGTGGAGATAACGGGTCAGCCTGCGTGGGGCCGTGAAATAGGTCCTTTGAATGACTCTGGGTCTTTACTGTGAATGCAATAAGG